ATTGACACTGAGTGATTAAAATCAGTTTTGACTCCTCAATGCAAACGTTAACCTTCCCTTTTTTATTATTACTTGCGCTAATTATTATGACAACTTCTACTCAGAGATTCAAACACATCGTCTTAGCCAACATATTGAGTACTTATAGCATCCAGGCTAAATTCACTAATAACCTATACAATAGATTCATTTATTTTGGGTCAAAGGTAGAAAATAAGCTAGAATTCGCAATCCTATGCATTCAATGGCTCATTTACAAACATTTTAGACTACTAAAGCATTCGGTGAATTGACATTTTAAAGGGGATTTGATTATCGTTTCGGAGACACATTCCATTTCCTTTGTGCCTGTACTTTACTTAAATGGTGCTTTCTGTTTCCGCGTTTAGATTAAATCAGGTAGAAACAGTCAAAAAAGGGGCAATAAACTGAATTTACTGCACTAAATTTCGGGCTGGAAATGTGAAGGTCATTGGTTTGTATGATAAGTACAACGCGTGCAGGGGTTGTGATCACTAATGCGTTGCGAAGTTAGCATCTTTAGGCCATGTCATTAACCAATGACAAACTGAGATGTTGGCTGCATTTTGGAGCCTGAATCAAACACCCAAAAGTTTTCAACCCACCACCCTATGTAGAAATGAAGTCCAGAAACGATTCGTATTCAGTGTTGTCTGCAGACATAGAAGCCGCAAAGCTGTCTGATATTTAGTTTTTCTACCCTTATAGTTCCCACTTACAATTTAATAAATTAGACTGCAAGCGACTGAGATTAATGTCACTTTTCACATTTCATTCCAGACTTAATTTTGCCCCTTAAAAAAATTAAAAGTGAGATCCTAACTTTGTCCACAAATAATAGGAAAAAAAAGAAACGCTTACGAGCATCTAGGGCCTTAAAATTTTGAAAAGTTTTGTTAAACATAGTCATGAAATGATTTTAGATCATTTTCTGGTAATTTTTCTTTGTACGAAATTATTTCCTAGAGTTGTGAGTGAAGTTTCAGAACTTTCCTCAGGATTTTGGCTAAATCGTTTAGTTTGAGATTAGTCTAAAAAGGACTAAATAACATAAAATCATGGCCTTTTTTATTTGACCAGTGGCTGCTTTATCAAAGCCATCACCGATGATAGCGTTTACACGTACCAAGAGTGAATGAGAGATGAATGTAAAATGGGAGAAAAGTGAATCTTTTTTTCGCCCTTCGAATGGGTTAAATTGGCAATTTCCGGTGAGCCCACTTTGATAGGCTGTCACCTTCGCATGATGCGGGGCTGGAACTGACAGTGTGTGTATGCATTGAACACTTGCGCTGCTGAGTCGAAATCTTACCCCTTCCTTTTTGCAATCTAGATGATGTTGCTGCTGTTGCATTAACCAATGAGCTGTGTACTTTCTAACTGTATTTGGTTTTAAAAACTACTCATCTTTAAGGCGTTGACTGACCCAAGTTCAATAAAGTTAGTTTTGTCGTCTCAAGTGGTCTTTATTTCGTTGTTTAAGAGAAAACCAGGGCCGCAAAGTAGCATCTAGCTAGAAAGACTAACATTTTTAGGAAATAATTTGCAAATTGATGAAGAACTGGGATTGTGCTAACTCTAATGCGCAACCAGATGCATTTCACGTAAATAATAAAGGACGATACAACAGTCTCTCAATGTAAACGCACCAATTTGTTGAGACGCCATATATCACTAACTACCCAACAAGGATGGAGTCTGTGGAAGGACAGAGAGTCGACGGTTTTTTTTGAGAACTTGACGAAGCTGTGGTACTGTGTGGGGTATGCGCGTGTGTATTTACACCTCGGATGTGTGAGTCATAAATGCGTTAACATCGGGACCTAAGTGTGAGGATAATCCACGGTAAATATCCGTGTGTATGAGGGGGGAGTTGGGGATCCGCGCGACTGGCGACATGCTGCGAACAAGGGGAACCCTGTGTCGGAGGTGGAGCGACCAGACACGAATCACACCCTGATAGAAAGGAGCGTATAGCTTCTCTAATTGGCGGTCAGCATAGAGCTATAGTATTTAAAAATTCGCTGTTTAGTCAGTCGTGCATCCTGCTTCAGCGTCCTGAGTCAGCAAGTCAAAACTTAATTCTCACTGGTCACTGCCCACCAGCGCACGTCCACGATGAGTTACGTCTGATGGCCTTTTATGCGCCAGACACAGTCGCCACTGGCACTTTCGTTACCGAAATGGCACCTCGTCAAGCCGGTGGCCTTGTGACATGGAACTGACTCCAACATCGCGACGTCTCAAGGCACGTACTCGATCCACGAGATGGCAAAATACGTGCAACGTCCGTGGACTCGAATAGACTTTGGTTGGGACAATAAGTCTAATTGCATTGTTTTTGTTTCCATGCCGGTAATAAAGGGGTTTGCGTTTCGTGTCGTCGGCAATTTCGAAAGCCTTTTCCATCAGTAATGCAAGTGCTAAATGTCCATAGTGAAATCATTAACCTCGCATAATTTATTACCTGTGACGAAATACGCACTAATTCTACACCGCCGGTGCATTAACTGTTTAAAAAACCACAACAGACACGCATTATCAGTAAGATAAAATGTGTTTTTTTGTAAAAAAAAAGCTTTTTTTTCATAACATCATAATTGATCTGAGTTGCGTAGGTAGTGTCATCGTTATAATTTGCTAGAATCATCAATAATTGCCCGTTAATAAACAAAATTTGGGATAGCTTTAAGTTATACAGAAGATATTTAATGAGCCGCATTTATTTTTACCAACATGTTCTGGTTGTAGGGTTTCTAAATCGCATCATGTTTTCACCCTCTTGGGCCGCTTAATGCTTGCGCAAGGTAAAATTTTTTCTCGGGAATTATAGTTACTCCGTTTTACTTATTTACTTTCAGTAGGGCAATTGCTAAGTCCATTCACCTGATTACCTTGTATAACACTTTCTTTCTCGTTAGTTTCAATAAAAGATCGTCGATGTGAACAATCGAAATATTTTGATGTGCTGAGGCCCTTTACCACACGAAGCGACCCAGGCACAAAATAAGTCTGGCGACGACAGGCACTACCGTTTACTCGACAGCTCGACGAAGTTGTATGTGCGTGTACTTTTACAGCTGAGTGGACATGAAAAAAAAATACAGGAGTCTGTGAGGTCACATGACCAAAGCGGGTTGTGGTGATGATGATGATGATGGTGGTGGTGGTACATGCAGGGGGGTTAATGAACCAGCGGCCTCACGTGACTGGCGGGCACGCCGTGAAAAGGGGGGGGGGACGTGTGTTGGAAGCTGCGACGAGTGGGCTCTTGGAGGAAGTGAATCAACACTATTCGCTACGGATGTTCCCCTAACACCGGTTTTTGTAGTAGATGGTCATCCACTCGATTTCAAACGCTGGCAGCCTGCTTAGATGTGGTTCTCACGACGTATATTAGCATTAAATTTTGTCCCCACTTTGGTAAAAACAAATATTAAGTGTGGTCAATTTCATTATCCGTCATTTATAGTCGTTTCGTTTTACGAAATGACTGCATGTGTATAATCTGGAAATTTTTCGTTGGTTATAACTTGCAAAAAGCCATAATCAATTGAAGAATGGTTCACATGCAGTGTTCTAACTTTGATCTAGCTACCAAAATATATGAGACAGGTTTGTCGCTAAGGTTTCAAAATCAGGTACTACGTGCTACTTAAAACAAAAAGTAGAAACCTAAAGAATTTCATGTAAGCCCGTTTGAATCGCTTTCATGGTCTGAATAGGCGGCAATACTCATGCTTATCAGTGGATGAACATCGGTCCTAGTCGGCACAATTATTCTAGGCGATGTTGGACGCAGTATACAGCCCTACTTGTATCTGACGCTGCCGTAGGATTCACGTAGCTTTTATACTTCCACTTGATTTTTGCCCGTTTTCGATGACGTGGTGGGATCCGTGTTGGTGAAAGTATTCCCTTTTGAATGGCCAGGCATCAGCGGTACTCTGGGATCGTTTAAAAGACGCAAGAGATGCGGCGATCCTTCATTCTTTCCAGAAACTTCGTCTGCATGCTTCAACATAATTTGGACAACGGCAGCTCATTCGGCGTCATTTACAATCAACCTTTTAGTGATCTTGTTTGACGAAGAGCCACATGTAATCGCTTCGTTGAAAAGGAGATCTGCAAAGATTTTTTAATCTCTATCTCATGCGTTGCTCCCGTCTGGTGGGGATCCAGGATCCCCCAAGATTGCTCATCGCCGTTTTTTTGTCACTCTTTACATTAATTCCCTAACATCAGTTTTATTGTCCTTTTTTATCAGGTCAATGCAAACCTTGACTCGATTTAGTGTGCACTTTTTGACAACCCACACTGTAGCGCGCGACATTCGACCCACGCACGCCAGTCTGGCCTGTTCTTTGTCTTCCTCTTCCCTCCCTCACTCTCGCCTTCCTTAAGGCACGCCCTCCTCAAAGTCATCTCCTTCCCTGCCCTCTGAATTTGTATGCGGTAGTATGGAATACATCCGGTTCTTCCAGTTATCCTTCTGTTGTGCGCCTGGTAGCTAACCGTGACGGGATAACAGTCATCTACCTATTTAGGTCCCCTCTCGCTAGGCGCATTACAACATCCGCTTTGGTTGAGGAGATTAAAGCTCTTTGCACGAGCTCTGGTCTTGTCTAGCATTAGCTTGGGAAGCTCGATTCAAGTCAGCAAGGGATCTTGTACCGTTATCTGAATGGATTTCTCTTGGTTACAAGCAAACGTAATACCGTCCCAGTGCTCTCGTTAGTTATGTTGACCTTTGCGTAAATGCTCCCTGTTCATCGATAAATTGACTCACACCACGCACTTAGTCATTCAACTCCGTCCGTCAAATCTCTTGTTTAGGGCTACCAGCCGACTCATGCAAGAAATTTTAAGTGTTAACACGACCAGCTTTAGCTTCGTATAGGCCTGAAGGGGCCTAAATTAGCACTACCGCAAAACCCTATAGATAACAGCCGGTCACAAACCGAGAAGAAAGACAGAGTCGAAAGAGAACACGCCAGTCAAGCAAAATCGAGCAACTCACTTTTGTGTGCGTATCGATACGCGTGCGTAACAGGCGACTGCTAACAAAAAAATCAATAACAAAGAGGGTGAGTCATTGATGCAGTCGGGCGGGCATACACGCAGCACTCACGCGCGCGGTGGCTCTGTCCAGTGCAGTGCATTCACGAAAAAAAATCGATTGACTTGTGTTCGCTCGCGCTTGCAAACTGCGTCCGCTCACGAATGCTAGCTGTGCTGGCTTGCTGGCCGCCTGCTGTCTCGAACCAAACGGGAGTCACCACGCTGTTTTGGCCCAATTGCTTTGCTCAGGGGTCACCGATTGTTGAGAGCCCTGGCATGTGGTCTTGTACCACACCTGGTCCGCTGAGTTAAACTGGTCCGGTCAGTCTACTCAGGCACCCGAAAAGACAAGCAGAAGACCAAAGATGGCACCAGACAGCTCAACCAGGTTGTGTTAGTAACGCCATGGTGCATAAAAGTGTGTTTGACTAAGTGGGATTGTCGATCAATACAGTCAGGGTGAATCTGTAAATGTACAAACAGCCGAGCTGCAAGATGAATGTAACGGATAATGTGGGAGAGGTGCATGTGCAGACGGTTAAGCAAGATCGATTGGGATGGCGTGGAAACGAGGTCAGAGTGGCGGAGAATGCGACAACCGGGTTAATGGATGTGGATCAGCCCAATCCACTGCACGGTTCGACTGATATTCAGGAAGACCAACAAGATCGGAAACGACAGTGGCAACCGGTCTTTGGATAAAAAAGGTCATGTCTGACAAATAAGCTTTTTTGGCCTGTAAAGGTGTAGACGAGTGAAGCGAGTAGTGGTTGAGGTAGATGCAGAGGAACGCATGAACAGATGCTTAGTCATGATCGACAGGGAAGTCGTGGAAAGAGGAGGGTAGCGCGTTGAAGCAGTCAACGACAGTTTGAATTAGTTTAAATTAACACGCTCAATACAACCTCTCTTATAAGTAGTCGTGTTTTACTCTTTTCTGCCTTCTTGAGACTCAACGAATTAGTGAAAACGACTTAATTTCTATTCCACCTACGAACGACTGCAAGTCATTTCAGCTGCTAAGTCTACTTACTCTCATAGTGCAGAAGTACATTAGCAAAGCCGGTTTATTTTTAACGCATTGATAATTTTATTTGACTTGAAACAGGAAATGCGAGCAATCCAAATCACACTAGCCCAATTGCTTTCTTTTGCCTCAGACCTAATATAAAGTCAACTCCAAACAGCGCCTTACAATTCATTGCAAAAATTAAATTAATTTTATCTGACGAAGTCTGAAAGACAACTCTCTGAAAGACATTTGTTACAAAAAGTGACACGGAAGGTGGTGAGGAGGTGCTAGACGGAAGGTGATGCTTCCGTTCAAAAGCAGAGAAGCGCTTCCTGTGTGGGAGGAGGAGGTGGAGGAGGAGGGGGTGGATTAAACAAAACCAACTAACCAACCAACCGAGCCCAACGCGATGATGCGACGTGGGATGTCGCGCGTACAAGTCTAAGCTAACAAGTGTTGATTGTCGACTCCACTTTGGCTGGAAGTTCCTTGAACTAAGCTTAGCAGTTTATTTGACAAAAAGGACTTTTGTAATGAATAGTATTTATCCACGTCGGCCAGAGCTTTTGCTACATATTTCGACACACAGCTCCCGCCTTTTCACTGGACCCCAACCACAACAGCACGACTAGATTGAGCTATCTAGTAAATGATTGTCTTAGTCTCAGACTGTATTGATCAACAACCCCATCCATCAGACATGAACTTTAATCCACAGAGCGGTCGTCCCCGCTAAGTCCTGCCTTCTTGATAATCCAGGGTATCATTTAAATGTTATCGGGTCAATTCAACCCCGCTGTCCTGGTTTTTGCACAGGTTTAGCGGAGTAATGTTCTCCCAAACGACAATTCTAGTCAAACGGTATCATAAGATAGCTTCGCGTGGTCGATTTCACTTTTTAGACTCTGAACTTACAGAACAGCATAGCAAAATCAGCAATATGAATAAAAGCTTTACATATATGATTAATAGGATAACGCTATTGGTAATGGAAAGGGTCGCCTACTTGTGCACCAACCAAACCTCCAGATTAGGTTCTATAAAGAAGATTTTCGATTAGGATCAGATTGTGCATCCACTTCAAAAGCAGCTACAAACAACAGGACTACTTTCTCAGTTTCTTACGCATTGTAGACAAGAAGTTGAGAAACATGGCCACTCTAATCACTTTTGTCCGCAAGTGTCTGGATGGATGAAGTTGGGCGATCATATTAACGACATTTTGTCGTCACCTACTGAAGGGCGGCCGTCTAACGGTGGTCACATACTGTGTCGCATTGGACAGGGGGATCTGCAGTTATATCCACAACAAAGTACATTGTTTCTACTCGCCTATGTAGCATCCCTGGTACAAGGATTATGGACAAATTAAAAATCAAAATAAATGAGACAACACTTCATGCGGCCGATATGCAAAATCGCAAACCTGTGCCCCTAACCCCGCGACAGAAGAACTTTCATGAGCTAAATTAGACCACACATTACACTTCGTTGGGATTCGTTCTTTTTTACATGAATAAAGACAATGGTTTGTCAAAAGCATGAGTTAGGCGCAAGATGTGTTAATTGGCGAACCACGGTTACCACAGTCGTGTTTATCTGTTGTAGATTTATACCTACGACTTCCTCTAGCCCCTCCTGCTTTCATGTAGCCACCACAATGGCAAATCATGACTAATAGGTGACCGCATCACCTTCTCCTGTCCCTTCTCTCGACTACACCTTAATGAATAACAAGCCTTTAGTAGCGAAAACCATTGCTGCAACTTATTTCGAATAAAGTTTCTTATTGTGAGCGAATACCTTACTCACGAATGCTTACTTTAAGTTGAATAAAAGGCTTTGGATTTGTCACCACCTTCATAGCTGTTTTCGGGATGTTTTGACCTATGACCGATTCGACAGAGCCATAATCCCCAAAATTACAAAGTTGGTTTACTATTTATCACGATTTAAACAACAGAGGCATTTCATTGACATCTGGACCTTGATGTGAAGTCAACAAACCCGGGATTCTCGAAATTTCTTTAAAGTTTGTTTCTGCGTCGTAAGTCGAGTAAAGTAGTACTTACAGCCAGTCTACTTTCAGCGTGGAATTACAAAGAAAGAGCTCGTCAGTTTTTGTGGCGCAGTGAGTATGCACCACGTTGAAAGGAGACACTTAGCAAACATTGGGTTTTATTTGCTCGTTACACGTAAATGTGATGTAAAAGATTGTTGTACAACTCAGTGCGACCGACAAGTATCAAAAGGTTGCTTTTTAGCAGCATACAAAATCATATATGAAGTCCTAGAGGATAGTTTAACCATGTGATTTCAAAAGTACTTTTGTACACAAGTAGCAGATGATGAGGAAGTAAGACGAAGTTGAAATTCCATAATGTTAAGTGGAGGTCCACCGGGTTCGTTATCCACCTAGTAAGTGAAATGCCGGAGAAAGCATTAGTTAGAGTCAAAGTCAGATGGGACCTGGAGGGTCACGAATACGATCTGCTTGCAGATCAGTAGCCTCGGATTAGGGCGATTGAATGATGACAGGAGTTGCCGGCACCAAAACTCGAAAGCCCGAGGCGCCACCGTAGCTGCTCGAGAAACTTGTTTCCAGAGACGGCGTCGGAAAGGCGCCTTGGACGCTGCTCGCCTTTCGGCTGCAGCTTCCCTGGTGCACCGAGGACTGGTCAGTCGGTGTCGGTACACTAGGGTTCCTCGCCAGCAACGGAGGGAGGGTAGATGCGGCGACGAACACTCCATTGTGCAACTCGATCTGGTTGTGTTTCGGGACACTTAATACACGGTGTTCGGTGTGTGTTGGAAAGAAGCGAGGAAGAAGGGTGGCCAGTAGTGACACAAATCCTCCAATTATTGTTGCAATATAGGCCCAACCAATATCACACCCACCTAGGAAACACAAATCAGAAATTACAGAGCGCTGTTACATTCAATGCTTGCTCACTTCAAAAGTCAAGTTAACTGGGCACCGCGACTGGTTACTTCCAAATCCGTGTGCCGAAATCAAGTCTCTTTGACAGCATTAAATTCAATTATCCGAGTTTCCAAAATGTCTTCCTTGTTGGTATACTATATAAATAATTTGAGTTTCTCAGTGAAGTTAAATGAAAGCAAACATCAACCAAGAAAGCTTAGTTACTTGGATTGTGAAGGATTATCAGTTTGTTTTTGCACTATTACCCCTACTCAGACTAAGTTTTCAAATACAACGACTTGGTTTATACAGATCTTTGTTCGTTGGTTTGTGTTAATCTAGGCGTATTTTCGCATGTAAAAGTAGATGGATATTGTTGACCGATAGACGGTCTCATTGAGTTCTCTTTTTGTCAACTTCTTTGGTCTCAGATTCTACTGGGGTCAACAAACGATGAGAGTGCACGGGATTCTTGCTACTTGCTATAGGTTTATTACTTTCATGTATGTCAGGTTGACTATAGTTTAGTAACCCCGTGCTGCTAAAATTAGGGCAAGGAACTGTGAGCGGTTGCGCCTTGAGTAAGCCTGATTTAAATAACTCGTCCGTATTTTTCATTGGTCATTGTTATCAGTTGCCTATTACGCACGCTCACTCATCCCTACACGAAAACACTTGGATGGCGTGGTGCGAATAAACGATCGTGTCCACTGCCGCTGCCTTTTCTCGCGCCTCGGGTTGTTACGGCAGATAAACTATCAAAGTTGTAGGTGACCGCTACTTTTTTTGATTTCGTTCAAAGACTCGGAAATCTTCTTGGCTGTTAACAATGAATGACCTTATGGCTGTAAACCCCCGTTCGAAAACATCGCAGTAAACTCGCCCGTACAGGTTCAAAGTCCTAGTGCGATTGATGCAAATTGAGGCCCATTTTCGCAACTAGAAGACTACCTACCGATTCTCCATGTATCAACATGCTGCTGTATTACAGAAGTTATCGGTTTGCTTGAAACAATATCATCGGCAAAACCCCTATGAAAAGTGTAAAGCTTCCGTTCTCACACGAACGACTGGTTCACTACAGAACACTTGATTAAATTCCGCTCTTGTAATAAAGAGTTTTTGACCCAATAACAACGATTATCGCAGTTTCCATGTTCGGAATTCGCAGGAATCTGGTATCTGTTCTTACACGGCAGTTGTGGCAAAAGGGTAACAACGCTCCTTTTTTACTAGCCTCAATTGATTAATGACAGAACCCGACCAGGCACATTGAATGTCTCTTATGACAGGCCTGACATTTCAGAGCTTGTTCGTGGTTGCTTATTTACGCAGCGCCAAAGCAGAAATAATGCAAAAGCATACACCATGGGTGTCTGCAATAACTAGATCCCAATTTCCGCAAAATGCCTTCAACCTATCCAGTCATTGTACTCGATTTAAGGTTTATGGTAAGCAGAATTCTCAGTCGCGTTTGATGCAACACTTAACAATTGGTATAAAATGAGAAAAGGCATGTATATTTTGGCCAGCGTTAGGACATTTTGGTTTGTTAATTTGCATGGCTTACCGGGGTTAAAGCTGTCAGCAGAAGAGCCACAGATCTGTCGGACCTCGTCGTTCATTCGCCAACCGACAGGATACATGACGCAGGTAAAAATCACAAGTAGACCTTCGGGAAGAGGAAATGCACTTATATCAATACAAGATAGTCAATAATCAGCAAAAGCTAGTTTCGTGAATCCTGTTTATTCAACCCCCTAGTCCGGTCGCTCAACCTCCTACATAGGGTTCCCCTTGTCGCAGCATGTCGCCAGCTGCACGAATCCTCAACTCCCCCTTCATTCGCACGAATAGCTATCTTGGAGTGCCCCACACATAGGTCTCGATGTTAGAGCATGTATGACTCACACATCCGAGGTATAAATACACACGCGCAAACACCACACACGACACAACGACACCAACGTGGTTGACCTCGGAAGTAAACGCCTGTGTCCGTGCTCTCCGGCCTTTTCCTTCATCGCGGGTATCAGGCAAGCGTAGTCGGGCCAGGGTTAATTCCGTGGCCCCGGCGTGGTTCAAGACCACATGCTAGGGGCCACAACAATTGGTGACCCCGACGACAACACTAGCTACAAACAACGGTCGTCCTCGATTTAACTTATGAACACATATATTACTACACGGACTTGAGTGTTCTTTTAATTTATAAAAATCGCATTTAACCCGAAACTAGCCGTTAAAAATGCTGCATTTTATTTTGGGATCGGCGGGTACATTCGTGCATTGTTAAATAGGTTTAATGCTAACTCTTTCTACTGATCACTTACCACTTCTTTTAGAATATTTTACATTATTTAAACGGTTGCTCCTTTGACTGACTAACTTATTTTACTAATTAAAATCATGCAAAATCAAGCACAATGTTTGCACAAACCAAAAACCATTATAAACTAGATTTTTGACCAATTACTTGGTGTGATTAATCACAGGTTAAGTGGCCGTCCTACGTCTCTTTTTAAAAAGTCAAAACGTAGTATTGTTACTATAAATTTATAAGCGTGTTAAGGTTTCTTAGAAGCAGTGGCGATTCTTGATACCTTGAAGAAATTTAATTTAATCGAAACATTTTTTGGGGATTAACCAGCAAATTATTTCTCATCGTCACAAAAAAAAATATTTTTCGTCGGAACATACGTCACTCACACCTGGGGAACGAAATAGATGCAGCATAACTAAATTGATTTATTCTGGTGTTATTCTGGCACAATCCCAATCGCGTCATCACTATGGATAACGACACCCTTTTAAAATAAATTTCCTTGGACCATTTGAACGCAAAGACATATGTAGACGATCCAACACAACGATATTAGTGGCTACAGCTTCGTTGGAAGTTCCCTGAAATTCCACAGCATTCCTCCGGCAGTTGTGCTGGTAGCAGCTTGCTTAGAATTGTATTCGAGTAGTCAAAATATAGAGTCGACTCCTTATATCGCATACAAAGGTGCACTGTGTTTGAGTCCATGTTAGACCTCGTTACTTAGCAAAATTGGTAGATATCCCAAGTATCTCTACATGAACCCTAGCAAAGAGATTTGCGCTACTAATCTGAAGTCTTAAGTTACCTCGCTAGTTCTAGCATAATTCGTTTGGGATTATTTCCAAGTTCAACAGGCACAGGAATCTCGTTGAATTCAATGATTCCCCATAAAAAAAATTACATTTCGTGTCTCTACGTTTTTCCGATGGCTTTTTCAAGATTTGATTTCCAGGACATTAGCATTTACCAACTAAATAGAACTTCTACCCAATCAGGACTCTCAAACTATGACAGGTTTAATACTTAGGTATGATTTCGCAGCGTTGCACCAAAAGTATTGTGGAAGTGCAAAATTTCATAAAAAATAGGGTTTTTAAAGCATGTAACGCCAGCGAATAAGATATTTACTCGGCCTAAAATAAAATGACACGTATTTAGGATATGATGAATGGATGAATGGCGCATAACATTGACTTACGCATAGCAGCTAGGCATTTTTGAGAGATGTGTTCATTGTTTATTACGATAAATCGAGCGCACGACCTCAATTTTTATGGACAATCAAATTGGGGAGGCTGGATTTTCGTGACCCGTCAGTTTGGAGTGAAGTCGTGCAACGAACGTTTGCCCATTGTGGCTGCCTTCCGACAACTTTCCCACAATGAGAGGAATGCCGTAGAAATAAGCCCACACAAGCGCATTATGAGCCTTGCGTGGTAACAAAAAGGTTATGTAGACTCGCAAGACATTTCCGGTGCGCACGCAGTTGAAACGATGCCGTAAATAGACACAAGTACGATTAGGGATCTGGTTGTTAACATTGCAAACCAAAAAATTTAACATTCTGAGTGGGTGAGCATTTGGATTAAAAGATGTTTCTTCAGATCTCCTCCTAGCCGTAAAGTTTTACAGAAGGAAATTCCAAAATGCCAAAATTCAATCTCGAAGATGATCGAATTCAACCCACAAACCACGCACAACAAACATCGTGTTGTGTTTATGGCACAAAGGTGCATTTTGTGCATGCTAAATGCACGACTTATGCCGCCAAAACGAATTTCAACTTTTGTAAGTGGCCGAATATTAAAAAAAACCCAATAAAATAATATACATCGAATACAAATCTGATCGGAGCACAAACGCAAAATCGAAGTAGCCTCTAAATGTCCAAAGTTTTTTGAGTTGATTACCCTTTCAGAGAGCGTTATGAAGCAGTAAATTACAACTTAATGTTGCCTTTAACTGTTTGAAAGCTTTTAAAATACAGTGTGTCATATTTTAATCAAAAAGTACCAATTACGAAGCAAAGCACAAAAAATATTGAACAGTGCTAACATGGTCAGTGGTGTGGGTCTTTTCTACTTATGGCAAAAGAATCCGGAGCTGCAGTTTGGCAGGGATGAGGCTGGTCACGATAGGACACCAATTCTTTTCCCCATATCGCTAATGAGTTAAGACGAAATCACCGAAGTCTTGTGGTGCAGTGGACCGTGCCCAGCTGGCCGTGCCATCGCACTTTTCTGGCCCCAATTGTGGCAAAGACGATTAGGATTGCAGGGCAGGCACCTCTAACAATTCGGTTAACTGCACTACCATTGCATTCCACACGGTTTACGGCTTCGTGCATCTTTCGTGCCGTCGTAATATTTCAAACCGGAAAAGTAAAGGCTAGTGAATTCGTGGTTATACATTGCGACCAAACAGAACCCAGCTTTTATACACTAATCATTATTTATTAATCAGTCCGTAAAATAAGTAATTAATTGCTAATGCTTGTGGGTGAATCAGTGTGTAAAAGCCTTTGCAGAACTACGGATTGGGGAAGTAAGCAAGGAATGTAGGTTTTACCACTGCAATGCACTGTGTAAAGGGATGAATGTTCACACCAACAAACGAAATCATGTTCTTTGTTATGAAGAGGTTGCATATTAGAAATCAAGCGTATTTTGGTGGCCTGATAATGCCGCAAGTTCACCTAGTTCTTTGGAGGAATGCACAGCGTGCTGTACTTTGCTTGTTTAGCAGTCTAAGCGAAAAATTCTAAGGACACAAATAAGAGTGCCAAGTATGGCTCACATGGTCTAGTTTTAAATCGGTAGTGGTACCGCTTTACATGGACCCACGACTCTAGGGTATTTGGAATCACCAACGTATTCCTGTATGACCGAAACCGATGTCCGTTTAGATGCATAAAAGAACCCGGTGATTATGCATCTCTCTCTCCACAAAGAAATATTTTCCGGTTTAGTTTGTTGCCATCAATAGACTTTTAATTTCCACTCACCTGAGACTAAAAATCCGAATTGGCACACCTTATTCACACCAGAATGGGCCAGAAGACTTATATTGAATCCAGAAACAAAGAGGAAGAAGGTGATGAAAAACAGCAAAACACAAGCAACAGCCAAGGTGACTAGGCCAACTTTCCACGTCAAGTGGGGGATATCGCTGAAGGTGTAGTGGCCACAGTTTGACTGGAGGGAGATACCAGTGGCTGGTGACTTGGTTTGCGCGGAGGTTGCGTAGACAGGGTAGACGCATCGACGAAATAGTCCGATGTGACTGGTGAGCAGTTCCGTAGAGGCATCTTTGGTACCGTTTTGGACGGGTAGGGTGAATTTGAGTGCTCCTTTAAGCCAGTAGGGGAACAAGCAACCGACAGTGCATAGAACAGCTGAACTCCACGCCAAAAGGGACCACAAAACCCAAAAACAACGCATGTTCTCGCCCGTTTGAAATTTCCGTAGAAGGGCAGGGAAAGAGGGACGCCACTTACCATTGATTCTCACCACATGCTTGTTAACCAATCAGCAGAAGGTGGGCATTCCACCAATCAGATAACCCAATAGGAAAGCGGGTGAATTTGCGTAAGTGACTGCGTTACTCAAAACGGATGTCAACGCAGTGGTGACGGGCTGTGGCGTTTCTTGAAATTTGGCTGCATTGAAACCATCTGACTCATCAATTGTTATAGGTACAGGGCATATTAGAAAATCTACTCCGACTTGTACTCAAATTATCGGTGTGCGGTGCTTCTAGACGCGTTTGTCATAACTTTTACTAATTAGAAATGACGTATCAATATTGGAAACTAATGTTCAAAAGCCGACGACTTTAGTATGTTTAAACTGCCTTGTAAAAACAGTTGAAGGGTGAATCATCAGGTGGACCTTCTCCAGTGGCAAAAATTAATTTCCTCTCAACTGTAATTTCTTTTTAGTTGCTTTTTACGTTGCCTCGAAATCCACCTAAAATTTGACGAGAAGGACTCAGAAGGAGACGACTGTGTCTATTCAACAAACAAGGCTTCAACCATTCCAGCCTGGAAGCAGAACTGACCGCTGTAGCGAAACATGCATTCATGGACGTTGACATTCTTAATCACTTCGATCTTTTCGACAAACCTCAGAAGTATTACCTAGTTGGTCTTTTAAACAGTGCCTTTCACCAAAATCACCACCATGCAAATGGACCCCGGTTTCCCCTTGAACGTGCAACCAAAATATCCTGGCCTGAAAAAACCCAACCGAGTAAATGGATTTAAGTTGGAAACACCACGATTTACAAGACTGGCAGATGGTCACCCAGTTACGGCTACTTTGCCCAGCTTAGCGTGTTATCGTGTAAATCAAACCCGCCTTGTGGTTCCCAGGAAAGTTGTCTGTGGGTAGTGTCCGTGTGGCAGTATTCGCGCCTTACATACTTCCCATGCCAGCTTTTTGCCGAGCCAATTTAGCAGATTTGAGAATACATATTATTACTTTCCCGTGTAATCAATGGTGACATTCTTCGAACGTTTGTCAGGTTGCGGTACACAGCTCAACCTCCCAAAAATTTCATGCATCGTCCGGTGGCTTGATTCGATTTTGATGATTTTCGAATACCGACAAGGTCTTTGTAGCCGGTGACGATCAAGGTAGCATAAGGAACAGTTTTCAATGTATCAAAAATGAAGTGACTTCTCAAGAGGCACAGTTTTGGCCTCTGGTCTACGGCCAACTCATCCCAGGATGAAAAAAATTAATAAATTTAAAAAAAAACTTAATCGATAAAGGAACCCAATCTCGAGGAAAATCAATTATCTTCCTTATATGCACCTTCTCAATATACCACAATTTCTTAGGAGATCAACAGTTACAATTAGAGCACTCAAGACAGATTTTTCAGTCATCCCCACGAAGGAGGTTGTAACGCGTACAACATCACGAAACATGAAATTCGTGAGTACGCCATATTGGAGGTTGTTGGGAGGCTACCTTGGATCCCCTTTGACACGTCTTTCTTCCTCGTAGTGAATCTTGACAAAAAACGCCCCCCTCAACCCGGTCGTCACGTGCTCAGACTCGCTGACCTCCCCCTTTCACGGCTTACCTATCGATCATGCTGGACCATCTGTTCACATACCCCCTACAGCTACTCATTCCACTCACCCACACATTCAGCCACTTGTATTTTACAAGATAACCCAGACTGTATTGATCAACAACCCCCATTTATCAGACATGACCGTTTTACCAACAAAGCGTGACAGCGTCTCAGCTTGGTTTAGCCATGAAGTAAACGGTTGTGTCCCCAATATCTCCGGTCTTAGTCATCTTGGAAATCGGACCCATCCAACGCGACCCCCACGGTGAGGTTCAAGAACACTTCAACACCTACGGTACCAGCGCTCCTATTCAAATTTACACCATTTTACACCTGTGAGTATTAACTGCACAAACGAGAGTTTAGTGATTTTTCGCCGTATCTAGTCTCCTCGCTCGTTCACGGACAGTGTTACTCGCAACCAGAATCGACCGGAACCAAAATGTTCAGAAGATTAGTTCCATGTTTGCTGATTTACTTATGATGTTTAAATTCCTTTGAAGGTCAATCTTTTGCCTTGTGTCTAAAACTATTGCTTGCAGAAATACCTTTTGTTTGGACGTGACGGCTGTGTACTTTTTGTGCGTATTGCAACATCATGTCTTAGTTTTAATTAGACATCCAGCAGCTAGGTAATCGAAACCCGTTGATCAAAAAGCAACAATTTTGCAACAGCTACCACGGTATAAACTAGATATATCGACATGATTCTCAATTTACTTCAGGCTGCAGCATTTTCGACTTGGAGGATATTTTGAATGCTACGCTAACTTTAGGACAATGCTGAAAGAACAGCTACAGGATGTGTTAATCACAGCTTTTTGGTATAGTTTTCGCTAAAATGGTGTGTCTGGAAAAATGCCACTTAAGATAGGTCTCAATAATTAGTTGTTCATAGCACTGGAAATCAAATTACTAAACACTCTGGACCTATAATTTGAAATTTGAGGAGTGGGCAAAATTAGTTACTCTACGATGACTTAGGTATATGGACAAGGCGGAGTAGCCCGGTTTGCTTTATCTTGACGCTGATTGGTCCGAACTGTACGGGAAAAGTAACAAATCCAAATGCCGAGCTAAGCAGGCGCTCTAATTCCCAAAAGACATTAGACTATTCACGGACAATTCGATTCAAACGATATTGCCTAGTTGCCACATTTGTGTTATCGTGTTCTGCTTATTTTCCATGTTTAATAGGCGAATTTCTAGATAAAGTGGTTTAATTTAAGCAAATTCACACATTTATATACTCGACATGTCCCCATTTCGTGGTTATTATTTGCCAGACGAACGTTGGGAATTATGAAAGTTACCTTTTTTTCACAAAAACATGATGAAAAGTGTAGCAGAAATGAAATTCTAAAAAATAACTTGCGTGCGACATTTTTGCATTTGCTGAAACATCGTGCATTTTCCAAAAAAAAATTAAAACCAACAAATTGCTGGATTTTATCTACCTGCGCAGCAGTTAAAACTATTTTGGAGACATTTTTCATTATTTTATAGTGTAGCCCGCAGCGACGCAGGACAATCTCGGGTAAAAACGCCAATTTTTCACAGCAAGTCTACCTGCAAGCAGTGAGATCAAAGTGTTACCATTTCAGACGCGAGCCCAAATCTCCTGCGCGTTCGTCTAAAAGCAAATTCATCGCCCTATCTTAGGCAAATGGATTCATGCTTTGTGCAGATTCCTATACAGACAATAAATGGGTAAAATTGCATTCATAGATGGACGCTTAGCCCCCAAGACCCACAAGTAAAGCTTTCAATTCGCATGCATTTTCTGTTCAGTACTTTTCCCTTCCAGTTTCCCAACCTAAACTCCGCAAACTGCAGTGCCTGTCATTACGTCCATATTCTCTTGACGTAACATGTCGCGACTAATTGACAGCACATTTAACTTTTTTCCTCCGGTTGGCTAGAATGCTCATAATTGATATTACACACGACAAAGAGGATATTCGTCAAATTTAAACCCTGGCTTAACTCCCAAATATGGTTTTCGTGGCCGGGTCTCACCACTAGATAGCCCATGTTGCTTACCACCAGAAGCAACGGCAGATATTAATGGCAAACAATTAAACGCTTAAGGAAAATCGGATTCTACAGCTCAGAGGAAATTACAAAATCGAGCATCGACATAAATTTGGAGCGAGAGTAACGCCTTGAATGGATTTATTAAAATTGACTCGTATTATGACTTCGGACGTCACATTAATAAAGCTGTCGCCATTTCGACAGCGTTTATGTTCATTAACAAACACCAGAAATGTATCTTTCTATATTTAAATCAAATATGGAAGGCGGATGTTGCTTTTGCATCGACGTGACCTGTTGAAACAGTGGTCGAAATTCATTCCAAAGGCACCTGACAGCATTTGAGGTAAATCAACGCTATTTCAACTTCACCATGCAGGCAATTTTTAATATGTTGCAGCGGACACATGGAATACGCGAACATCAACGTCAAATCAACCTCTTAAACAGTTGGACGTGAAAATACCAAACTAGTTTGTTTCCGCTGGCAATAATAGAAGGCCATTATGATTACTTTCGAGCATAGGTTGTAGATTCGATTGTTGTGGGCCCCAGCATGTGGTCTTGAACCACGCCGGGGCCACTGACCTATCCCTGGCCCGATTACGCTTGTCTGATACCCGCGATGAAGAAAACGGAAGGAGAGGACGTGGACACAACCGTTTACTTCAGAGCTCAACCAGATTGGTGTCGTTGTGTCGTGTGTGGGGTTTGCGCGTGTGTATTTATACCTCGGATGCGTGAGTCATACATGCGCTAACATCGAGACCTAGGTGTGAGGATAATCCAAGATAAGTATTCGTACTAATGAATGGGGAGTTGGGGATCCGCGTGGCTGGCGACATGCTGCGACAAGGGGAACCCTGTGTCGGAGGTGGAGCGACCGGATTAAGGAGTGCAAATAAACACGATTGACAACACGATCAAATATCAATTTTGATCCCAGTACACCGCAGTCCTAAATTCAGTGATATAACAAGACACGAGTTTAACCCCAGAGAACAGCTGAAGCAAAAATCGAATGAATTGGATTTAAAGTGGTCGTTAGCGTAAGCAAGAAGCGTGTAGGTAATATTCTCACAAACTTTCTACTGGCGAAATATTTTGACAAACAAATTCACCAGACTGAGGTCCTTTCAGTGTGGGAAAATAATTGAGTGTTTTATTTCCACATGTGGTTGCTCGGAGCGTTAGCTTGAAAAAGCCACCCAACTACACGTCGTTAATTGCCGTAAAATATCAACCAATAAAATTCCCCACACGAAGGCGAAAATAGGTCTTAATTGGCCGTGCAAAGTAATCGTAAAACCTGTCTGTCGGCTTCCTGTGATTTGTTTCAGTTGTTTTGAGTAATGTAGAGGTATTGGGTAACATTTCCTTGGTTAGAAATTGGATAACAGCATTGCAAAGGTCAGATAGGAAAAAGGCATTCCATCGGTTGCTGTTAAGTGGCAATGAAGGTATTCAACTTCACTCATCTTAATGGTTTCATTTTCATAATGGAAATTTTCACAGCGCTAGACTAAAGCCTGTTCTTTAACTGTTCCGACCATAATGCGGTACTCATGTTGAGTAGTCACCTTATTAAAAATCATCACTTTACCGGAATCTATGGCTAACAGGCTTAAATAACTCCAGGCAATGCGGTGTGGAGTCAGTTGTGTTAAGTCAGCATAAGAAGGTAGTGGGTCGGGCAAGGAACGTAAACCAGGCTGAACCAGCACTTTCCTAGTGTCTGATCTGTGATCTTGATCAGGAAAAAGAATCAAAGCAATTAAGGAATACGACTTTCGGGAAACATATCCGCTCCTGGTGTTCCCGACGGAAGAAACATTGAAGCCCATGATCTCCCATTCACAGGCAGTTATTTTTTCTCAAGTTGAGTCAAGAATAACAAGTGAAACATTGACTCTTGGAAATGATTTGTCTGAACCAAAACAGCTGCTGTAGATAAAGAATTTACAGTGTTCATAGCACAGAAACCGTTGTTCCTCCGTTGGCTACACAATTTAATTCCAGTTGGGTTTTAAACAAAGCTAGAAGAACATAAGACGGCTTAAAAAAACGTGCCAATGTGACCAACCCGGAAAGTTACGGTACACTGAAGTACGTTAATGTTAGTAAACTTTTTCTTGGTAGCTAACTTGTCAATTGGCTCTGAAAAACGGCCAAGTTGCGACCCAATGAAAAGACGAGTTAAAATTGGTACAGGAGCAAAGCTTTTGAGGACAATTTTCCACCTAAAGATCTGCACAAATTTTGATACTGGATTGAATTTAAAGGCAACAAGAGACGGGAATTTGAGATAGCGACTTTGTGTCCAAACAAGCTGGCTCATTTAAAATTTCGTGTTACGCTGCACCTACGATACAGCCCTGGACTCGATATGTGAAATTTTTTTAAGCGGTGCACGGCACGCCCTCAATAACATTCGCGATAATTTGCTGCTGTGAAAACAGTTATACGTCCTTTACGTTCGACTGTCGACATCCACACACGCATACATCAACAATCCGTGAATTTACCCACAATCCGTGTACAAGCCAGCTTCTGATGACAGCGCCAGCAGTTTAGTCGAGCATAATCGGGGAACAAATCAGATGTCAGTGGATGGACGAACTTTAGCCCCCTTTCCCACCAGCATGCCCAACCAAGCTACCCATCAATCAACTTAGCGCCCTTGTAAACAGCCACACCTGACATCGACGAGGCAAACGGACACTTTCTCGGGCGCAGCAAATTCGACAAGTTGCAGCCCGTTATCCCGAAATACACGAAATCGATAGAAGAGGCCGGCAGGTTTACCCGAAGGTAGTGAGTCTGCTTGCACCACCTTCTAACAACCAGAAAACGCAGACAAGACAGACGATAGTGGATGCGACAGTCCACTAGCGTGTCCGCGTGAGCACGAGTATCGAATGCGAGTAGCAACCAATGAATGACAAGCATGAGTCATTGACGTCAAGACGTCGGTAAACAAGCTCGACTCAGGCGCGTCCGCTGACAGCTGGCCAGGGAGTGTTGGCTATTTGAGACAGAAATCGCTCGAGAATTATCGTACCGGGAGGTGGGGATACGAGAGAACGCGGCTGCTGTACTCGTCATTGCTTGGCACGAGGAGGGTTGGTGCTTTATTAACCAACCATAGAAGGGGTTGTTGTGAATTGTTTATTCACATCGCTTAATCCGATCGCTCCACCTCCTACACAGGGTTCCCCTTGTCGCAGCATGTCGCCAGCCGCGCGGATCCCCAACTCCCTCCTCATTCGCACAAACACTTATCCTGGATTACCCTCACACCTAGGTCTCGATGTTAGCGCATGTATTACTCCCACATCCGAGGTATAAATACACACGCGCAAACCTCACACACGACACAACGACACCAACGTGGTTGAGCTCTGAGGCAAACGGTTGTGTCCACGTCCTCTCCTTCCTTTTTCTTCATCGCGGGTATCAGACAAGCGTAATCGGACCAGTGTTAATTCAGTGACCCTAGCGTGGTTCAAGACCACATGCTGGGGCCCACAACAGGATTTTGTTACACGCATAACGGGGGAACTTGGTGTTTGGGCCCAGGATTGGGGATTGTGAACAGCAAACGCTGGTTGGCAGGTGTTAGCCAATAGGCGATTAGTAAGGCCAAACATGATAAACAAAGATCGTATCCATCATCTACAAATTCAGCGGTACAGATGTGCGTTAGTTTGAGAGTGGGCAGTACTAATGTGGAGAACTAACGTAACTACGATGGTGTGGAACCGCATATTAGGTTAACTATGTGAACTTTAATACATGTTTTCTGGTCATTGAGTTCCAACCACTTATAACCGAAGACGTACTGGGAAATGGGTTCATTGCGCATTTGGAGAAACAGGCAAAAGTGCGATTTCGCTGCTTTGCTTGGCCAGCAACGTGGGAAGAAGGGTCCAAAGATAAAACGCATGCCCACGCACACTGACATGACAAGCCAATGCGTGCGAAAAAAACGGCTTCTTCACTGGAAAAAACGCCAGAAGCGTGTTTTTCTGCATCAGAACCCACTCAGTGATGTGATAAAAAGACGCAATCACGATCGATGCAAGCGGCACCATCGTTTCGCACTAGCTCAGAGCCATGTAGTGCATTCTGCAGAAATTGGAAAACAAGAACACAACTATAGACCGAATTCTTGTTGGATAAATATTTCACACTACTAACCGATAATAAAGTAGGTGATTTATTAAAAATTTGGTTCAATTGAAGTAGACATTAGGCACGGCAACGAGGGGGCTGTACAAAAACGCAAAAAAACCACGGCGACACGCCTACTTCTCCTCTAAGAACGTTATACTCGCCTCGTCAGAGCGATGAATCGACTCATGATAGATGTCGTCCGCGAACTCATCAAAGATGTCGGTGGCGTCGGCGGGGTCTGCGTTGTCGTCGGCAGCACTCACGTCGTCAGGGAACCACGTCGGATTGGGTGGGGGGTTCTCGTTGCGCTCGTGCACCCGGTTAATCAGCCAGGAGTCGTGGAGCAGGCAGAAGGAGTGCACCGGTCCGGGCGTCGGACCGGAGAGGTAGATCAGGTTCAATCGTGGGTTTATTCGAAGAATCTGCAAGCGAGGAGTCAGCGACACGGTGAGAGCACGGTACGCCAACTTACAAGACAGGAGCAAGGCCTTCTTACCTGAAGTCCACGCAAGGAGCGATAGCGATTGCCCATCACGCCGGCCATTCGCTTGCCCCGAACCACCTTTCTCTACAAATGAGGAACAAGTTCACTCAGAAGTCGAGCCAATTCCTTGCGAGCATGCTTCGGTCATTATGTATTAGGGAATCGAGAGATGCAATTTCAAATCGAGTCAAGACTCGAAGCCCTAACAAGCGATGAGCAGAGTCGTAGTAAATGAGATTGGTGTGGAATGAAATTTACTAACCGCAACAAAAGTAGAACAAAATCGAATGCACTGACGCACAGTCTTCCCCTTGACTTGTAAGTTAACGTCGATGGTGTTTATCGCAAGTTAATAGGAAGAAGGATACATGCTGATACGGGAAGTTTATGCGTAAAGCGGGACCATATGAACAACGTAGACAGGTGTCTGTGAGTTAACAGAGTTAGACAGAGCTAAGTTAGTTTAAGTAGATTAAATGGTCGTTGTGTTGAGACGGGGATCACTAGAGCGCGGAAACCCACTCGACGAAAACGAAAACAAACCATCTCGAAAACGGAAATGGACGAGTTGGAGAGGGTCGCACCAACATCACCCACACACCTGATCTTGGACCTTGGTAAATTCCAGCTTAGGCTACATTCGTGGGAGATTACAAGCAATCCTGAAGCATAAAAAGGCAACAACACACTGCAGGAAGAGGCAAAGGCAGATTTTTAAATTTCGGAAGAGTTTAGAAAATTTAGGACTTGGAGTGCCGCCAATTTCACACCTACTTCAAAAAGCCGAAATGAGTGCGAGTTCCAACCACACAACCAATCAAAATGGGCACTTAATATAATTGGATGAAAGTGGAAAGTGAATCAGACGAACGGCCTGGGTGGATCAATCCGTTAAATGACACATAGGCATGACCGAATCACTTGTTTTTAGCACAGGCAGTAAAAAATAGCGACATTCAACAAGCACGGGTAGGTCAAGTCGCGTGTGTTCAAAGAAAGGCCCTAAGTCTGAGGACACCAAGGCATTGCTGTTCACCTAAATCTACAAGACTATTCACCTCGGATTAACCTGACAACATCAAGAACACGGCTTTTAAAAATGGAAAAGACCAATGCTACAAAGCTAAAGTAACAAAAAAACTGCCGACACAATCAAGGAAGCAGAGAGTGGATGAAGGTTGGCAAAGGGAAAGGGAGGAGGACGTACCCCGCCACCGGCGAGACTGCCGAGTCTGCGATGGAACTTGGTGCTGCCGTGCGCCGCCGGCCCACCGCTCATGCCCCAGCGCTCGATGACGCCCTGGAAGCCTCGGTTGATACTGGCAAAACAACGAACAACCACGTTGCCACCGCTTACTCGATTAATCAGCACTTGGGTGTAGTGGTACATCGATGCTTATGCTTATGCTAGGCAGAGCGTATTCACTGGAATCGCTTGCACTCGCCTTACGAGAGCAATCCCAGTTACTATTCTACAGGACCACGCGAAATGGCTTTACTACTACACGATGAGCAGTAGTAGTACATAGCTCCAATTTCTGATTGCCAAGTTCTGCCTATAAAGGCAGGGTGCAAATAATCAAGCCGTGCTAATAAGCTGTAGTGCCGTTGAGTTGGAAAAAAACCTAAGTTGATTATTTTGGTGTCAATGTTTAAAATAGACATCGGAAAAAGAACTCACGTTCTGGCTGTGACGTCGATGTAATCACCAACTCGGAAGTGGTTTATTGTGATCGGAGTTCCTGAAGGAATAATCAGTAGCGAAGCAATGCCAAACACGAAATTCTGCTTAAAACTCAGACATTTAGCGTGACAAGAATGTTCGGTGAAGGGAGCGACACCAATTAGGCTACAGCGAAAGCCCACGTGTGTTTCAATGATAGCATGATGTAGGTAACCAAGCCTCCCAAGCTGTGTGCCTGGCACAAACGCAGACAGGCCATGACAGCTAAGTGTGCAACTAATTCCTTAGTTGATTTAAGATTAGATGTTTGTGGTGGCTTACCAATGGTTCCTTATCCGTACAAAGTCCTTTGGACGAGTACATCCGAAGGTAAGCAGTACCTGTGGCTCCTGCTTAGGCACTTGTGACAAATCGTGCTGATTCATGTTCTTTAGAACATTGACCACCTTTTCAGCATGCCCGCCAGCCACACGGACCCGTCTGCTGATGCTTCCTTGTGCATGTACCTCCTCGCTACTCCTCCCATACATCTGGCAATTCAGCTACTTGCAACTTTACTAGTTCACACAGGCCCTCTTATTTAAACACGACCTTTTATGCACAGTAGTGCGGTAGTCACAATTTGGTTGAGACATTGAATCAGCGGTTGTCGCTTTCTCTCCTGTTTCATTTCTTCCTTTAGTCCTTCGTGTTGTATCAAGAGGCCCCATATTTATTAGTTGTTATTAAGAAGTTAAAAAATTCGTCAGCGCACACACCACAATGACACATCATGCATATCGGATGAAAGTGCGACTAAATTAACCCTACCATCTTGCGACAGGTCAACTAAAATCACCACATAGGCAAACCTAACGACCACAACACTATTCTATACCACCAGTCGTAAGGCTTTTGAGCCATGGGAGGCAGCAACCACACCGCTTTGCTAAAGTAGAAAAGTTTGCCATTCAGTTCTCATAATTACTCTTTGAATGTGTTTCGCAATGAGAACCCAACTACTACATGGGCATTTCATATTGCTCTAATATGCCTGAACATCGAATTGCCAATCAGTTCTCATATTAGTTGTAAGAAGCAATTTTGTAATAAATGGGACGCATACCTGGTTCTAGGGCGGCATCAGGGCTGACGAGGAAACGCGTGATTTTGCGCTTGGGAGCGACGCCGGCGGATGTGAAGAGGCCGCACCATTCAGGCGTGAATTCGATTGGATCGGCAGACATTGCACCGACAATCTGCAGTCCCCAGCGCTTCTGATTAACCCACGACGGAACATGTCTGTTTGTGAGCCAATATCCACGAGGATCCTTAAGACTGAGGTAACGATCAAGATCGTCGGGCGGAACGTATCGGAGTGCATGGTTATCGGGGATCTGAAAAAAACATAAGATTCCACTTTACCTATGACGTTTTTCCGATATTACAATCTGCACGAAATAATAACCATGTTTAGTGCATGTTGGAACACATTTTTGCTCCAAATCAACAAAAAGCAAGCCAGCAAGAACATGTTTCCGGAAATAACAACGGGAGTTTATACCGGCTGTAAAGTTTGCTACCAAGCCATATCTAAAACGGATAAAAGTTACACAAAAGTAGAGACTTATATATTGAATTTACATCGGATGTTAATTCTACAGTCTTTGTACTTGCAAAAACGCTCTAACACAAGTATTTGCTAAATCGCTAGTCAGGACTTTTACAATTGAGCACCACACACCACTAAATATCCATTTACATGATATATTACACCTAAATTTATGTAGTAATATCAAATAGCACCTAACAAAATGCCGGTATGCTAGCCTAAACATTTAAGAGCCACACAGACAGATAACATGTTGTCCTTCAGAATACAACCACTGGACATGTGACGACGTCGCTAAAAGAATGTGTGGTGATGGTTAAGAACTAAAACTGTTAGCTTACTGCAAAGTAGCACAAAAAAAAATAAAGTTTAAAACTGTAAAAGGTTATACTTAATATTATATAAGTGAGAAAGGAAAGGATTGACACTAAATATGCATAAAAATAAAAAACTAAAATCTTCTGACATCAATGTGCGTGGTACACTAAACGTTTTACGTAAACGTGCCTGCACAATTGTACAGTCGACTTTTTTCCCGGCCTTAGTCCACATAGGATATATGCCTATCTTTATTCCAATCAAGCCACATCGCTGTGTCTGCATTGGAAGCCATGGTCGATAAGCTTCGGTTGTAAAGTTTATAGGAGAGATCTTATCTGAAAGGGCTTCCTGCCGTTCAGCAGCAATGAACTTGGCATTAGTAATAGACAGGTCTTCATCCAAGCGAGGATCGGCCTTCTGATCAACCCAATACGGTTTTCGACGATTCATCCATGGATAAACAAATTTAGTGTACTTTCCAATTTGACGGATGCAAGAAAAACTCACACCAAAACACTTCGAAAGAAAAGTTGAACCAAACGAGGTGAAAGAGCACACCATCGAGTTTGACAGGCTAAAAAAGCCAGCCGACGATGGGTCGTTGACTTCAACAAATCATTTAGGGCAGTTTATTAACCAATAGAGTTGCAGCCCTTGAATTTAGGGCCTACAGGACAGTCACGAAACTGAAGCATTCACTGTTCAAATTTATAGGTGAATATAGTATTTAAAATGGTTGGACCGTAGTTTCTGTGCAGCTATTAGAGCAATGATTCACTGTTACTTCCTGTATTACTGGGCAATGCGAATAATAGTCAATTTGATGCATTAAGATCCGCGAGTGACATGACAATCCGCGCCAATATTTCTCCGATATCAAACATCTTATGTTATTTAAACTTGCTAATCAAAACATACCGAATGCCTTAAATGGATCACAGCTCAATTAATGTAAGAGCAACAATTGGTTCTCTCAAAATTAGTTTTTATGGAATATGTGACCGCAGCATTTTTTTACCAACAAAAGTGCCTTAGCATAAAAAGGAAATCACAAATGCGATGCAACTTAAAATTCAGCTAGCCAGTGTTAAAAATTTTTCAATTTTCTGACAAAATCTTGAGATCTTTTAAAACGCTTGGGAAAATTTAATGAACTATTTATGTCTAATTCTTTACTTTTTGTTTTAAATTCCTACTTTACGATTTTTACCACGTTCCGTTTTTGTTTTAATACGCTCCTTTAAGAACTTCCTTACTTTTTTAGGAAAGTATCAGGTTTATTCGATGCCAACTCGTTTCTATTGTTCAACGTTCGTAAAGAACCGTATAAGAAAGAGGTTGTTCAACGTTGGATTATCCTCACACCTATGTCTCGGTGTTAGCTCATCTATGACTTACACATCTGAGATATAAATACACATGCGCAAACACCACATACGATACAACGACATAAAAGTGGTTGAGCTGTGAAGTAGATGGTTGTGTCCAGGTCCACTCCGGTCTTTTTCTTCATCGAGGGTATCAGAGAAGTGTAATCAGGCCAGGGTTAATTCAGTGGCCCCAGCGCGGTTTAAGACCACATGTTGGGATCCACAACAGGTTAATTAAGGCATCAAAAAACATGACTTAATTCTCCTTAAAGTTATTTGGAGTTACAATGACTATTGTGCGGCGCCTGTGGAGCGAGTGTTCTGTTACTTGTGCTGTTTATGGCAATAATTCTAAGAACACCCCAGACAACCTTTAAATTGAAAAACGGACGATGCCGGCATTTTACTTTAAGCTGTATAAATTGATACTTATGTTATGGTTTCTAGAAGAAATCGCAAGTTGCCTAATTAGTTTTAGCAATCAAAGTAATGCTTTAAGATGCCCCTTGCTCACTGTAGGATCATTTGAAAGATATGGTAAATCCAAATAGGGAGTTGAATGAACTACTTTAGTTTTTTTGCAAATGATTGACACAATTAATTCGGAGACTTCTTTCTTGCAGTAATTCCTTTGGTAAAACGATTCTTGGAGCTAAGATGAATAATGCATATTGCTGACTGGTTTAGTCTGCTGGACAAGCCCAAAATTATGAATTTCATCCCGCTAATAAGAGTCCTTTCTCACAAGAAGGAAAATTATTTCCAATTTTAACCTCAAACTGACATCCAATAAAATCGCGTGTCTTTAAACGGGATCATAATGTCGATTCAAGAACATTGTTTCGGAGTACCAAGAATACTGCTTGTATCGTGATTACGTTTTACGTGAATGCAAAATGGTGCCTTCGCTCAAATTGATAAGGATGTGGAATTTCTTTTCTTCTTCATAATACCACTTTTAAAACAATTTCCTATTAGCTCATGAAAAGTTCCTTATATTCATCACCTACGAGACCATCTAATACGCATGACGAGTCTTCATTTGCTTGCTATGGTTAAACCTCTACTGTAGTATTTTGCCATAGCCACAGGCTTCTGGACTTATGGTACAGAGAAATTTTGATTAAATTGTCGATATGAGATAACAAGGGTTCTTAAATCAATGATGCTTATTTTACATAAGTGAATGAAGTAAGATTTCAGAGTATTGTTGAATAAACAGTGAGCTGCCCACAAAAGCACCTCAAAACCCTAAATTATTTGGTTAAATAACGATTGCTAAAAGATGTCCGCATTGGTAATGCATTTTCATCATGTCCAGAGGCCCGATTCCCCTTTTTTTGTAAATCCAAAGCTTTATCAAGGAACAGTGTTTAATCATTTGCAGTGACGTTGGATGCTTTGTAAATAATTGAATAGGCTGTGATCTGATAACGTACGATCATTGCCCAATGAAGGATATTATATAACTTTCTACAAAGTAAGAAGTTTAATTTGGGGCACACTGTACTGTCTTAATTAAGCATAGTTTTTTTAAAGTTAACCAATTCTGGCCTTAATGCTAGCCAATTATGTTTTAAACAGGATCATTTCTAAGCAGTCACTCAACGGTTCAGTTCACTCACAGCCTTGATTTGCACATTGCAAATTTTGAGGCACGTTGATCAGTTCAAGCTTGGGTAGATTTGAACAAAATATCCGTAATGTAGCCACTGCACTAAGACGGGTTATTCAAACGAGGTCATACGATGCACGCATCTCATTGTGAGCCCCAGAAGATACTTGGCCCATAAAAAAGTAAAGTAACATATTTCGGAAAGATCTGTTGTGAGACCCCGGCATGTGGTCTTGAACCACGCCGGGGCCACGGAATTAACCCTGGCCCGATTACGCTTCTCTGATACCCGCGATGAAGGAAAAGACCGGAGAGAACGTGGACAAAACCGTTTACTTCAGAGCTCAACCATGTTGGTGTCGTTGTGTCGAGCGTGGGGTTTGCGCGTGTGTTTTTATACCTCGGATGTGGGAATAATACATGCGCTGACATCGAGACCTAGGCGTGAGGATAAGCCAAGATAGATATTCGTGTGAATGAAGAGGAATTTGAGCATTCGCGCGGCTGGCGACATGATGGGAAAAGGGGAACCTTGTGTCGGAGGATGGGGCGATCGGATTAAGGGATTGAATAAACACGATTCACGACAGTTCTCTCATTTAATATATGTTTAAAACTCACTCCTAACAGACATCTGCACCACAATTGCACGAAACTCACTTCAAAAGCAACCCAACATTTACAGAAAGAAAGAAATAAGAAAAGTACAGAAGTATTTTAAAATAAAAATAACTCCCTTTGTTACCAAAACCAGGAACTACTTTAGTGCCATAGCACAATTCATTGGTACAAGTTTCCAAGTGCACAACATCGAAATAAACTGACTGTCCAAGCAGTCAGGCCACCTGAATTTACAATTCATTACCTAAATTAGCTCAACATTATATCATAGGTGGCAAGATGCTGCCGAAACCTGCTAAGATAGCCGTCAGGCAGCACAGTCTTGCTACCTTAGTCACATCACATGTTTGCGTACTTATTCAGAACAAATTGCGAAGAATTTTTGCAATGAAATGTAAGAATTTGATTAATGTCAATAAACTAATTACTCGAGTCAATCAGCACTAAACTCTGTGTGTTTTAAAAAAAAACATTCTTAGCCTTAAACTTTTGTTGACAGTCCCTAATTTTGAGGCAGATCGGATTATCTGAATACTGACAAGAAGCCTTACGTGGAGTGCAACGTGTAGGCAGTAATAATGAGACTAAACGCCATCTACAAAAACCAAGAAATCGGATGAAGCAATCTACACATAATAGATTATCTGCTAATCCGCGGTTGCTTGACAAAACCGATCATTTTGATTATAATTAGTAAAAAGCAAACTGGATCAGTAACGAATAAGAACGCTTGACCGTCTGAATGTGCTTGGCTGAATGCAAAAGATTTGAAACCAGATTAAAAACCAATATTCACCGAAAAAATTTGTTATTATTAGCTAATGACAACCCCTTCGCTACATTTAAACGTCTACCAATGTGCCACAATTACTTGGAGACATTCAGGTTGAAAAAACCTGCGTGGTTTCTCTTGAAAAAAAAAGTAATAAGGCAAGATTTGACTGCTTTCACAAAATCAAACATTTCTGCATTGTAATTATTTTGCACAACAAGAAACATGTGAACTCTAAAGGAGCAAAGTTAGGTAATAAGTCGGGAGCGGCTTTGGTTCAGCTTTTTTGTGGTAACATTTTAAGCCTAAATTTGCAAGTTGTTGCATAGACTTTAACACTAAATTGCATTTGTCGCTTGCATTAATTCATTGCGTTTATTGGTTGGCCACATGACGGAATTTTGTAAATAACTATTTCTTTGTTCATTAAAGGATCATTTTCTTAACAACCGAAAAGATAGAAAGACTGACGAATCTCAATTCATTTTGCCTCGTTCTGTAAAAAGGCGTGGAACCCATTTATTAACACCAAGTTTTGAAGTGTATCTAGGTTGCCTTTAACCTATTTCGACAGCTGTAATTCGTGAATTTCAAGTCCCTAACTCACGGATAAAGTCATTTCCAATGTTTACAGGACTGTTCCCTTTGAAGTACCCATTTTTAAATCAACAAAACTAGAGTTGGCTTCCCTAAGAACAGAATTGCGATTGAAATAATCGTCTCGAATGATTTCGTTGCTAAATCTACAGTCACTCGTTTTTTAACTCGCATAAAATAATCTGACGAGAATGTGGCTTGTAGTGGACTGACAGCCGCCCCGCGCGAGTGTGCGTGCATGAGGGCCCGCGTTATTGATTTTTGTCAGCATTCGCCTGTTACGCACGCGTGCTCATACCCACACAAAGCCACTTGGCTGGTTCGACTCTAATAAACGGTCGTGTTCTCTGTCGCCTCCTTTTTCCTATCCTCGGGTAGCCACGGGCTGTTAACTAGAGGGTTGTAAGGTAGTGCTAAATCCTCTAGTCACTACATCTGGTGACCCCGACGTGATAAAACCACTTTATTTTTGACGCCGTTGATTGGTGATATCCGTCGAATTTTTCACAACTCTCTCATCTGTTAACAATGAGTGACCCTATTGCTGTACACCTCTGTTTGGAAAACAGCATTTCAGTCAACTCTCTCCCGTGCTTTCCCAATGCCCGAGTTTGGCTTATGTGACCTGAGGCCCATTTTCGTAATTGGATGATTGCCTCCCAATTCTCCAAATACTTTTGTGCTGGTGCATCGCTACCGAGAGATGTTGCTACTAACGTTATCGATTTGCTTGGAACAATGCCTTCTGAAAACCCCTTTGGAGATTTGAATGTTGCTGCTCTATCACTATTGATCAGCTTAAACGAGCCTCGTCGTCGACGCCTACTTTCTGGTATCGAACTAGTTGACAGGACTCCTTCTCAACTCCTTCGGCATATACGCCTCTTTTTTTGGGGATATCAAGGTTAATGATTCCGTTCTATGCCAAATGTGGACTAAAACTTTCTTGGCACACATGAACATAATCACCTCGTTCCAAAGCTCTAGCGTACATTTGGATAAGCCTACAGAAATGGCTCATAATATCCACGAATGTCTGACCCACGGAGCGGAAATTCCAACCGTCTCCTCTGGTGTAGCAGCTAACAGATACCCAACCACCTACTGAGATTGGATGAATTATCATCTAGACAGCCTCAGCAGCGACAGCGCACCAATTCCCGTTTCCGCTAGCCAAGTCAACCCAGGAAGAGATCCGACCTACCCTTGTCACCCGTTGTCGGCTTTGCTGATTCAGTTCACCCATTGTCGAGTGTTTACTGTTTCACAGCTAACACTCTCGGCGGGGAAT